CTCCTGCCTCAGCCTCCTGAGTGCTGGTATTGCAGGTGTGCACCACCACACATGGCTTATGATTAGATTTTTCTATAAAATGAAAGTTAAATATATTGAAAATAACGAAATGCTTAAACTAAGACTTCTCTGGGGCATGACATAATATGAAATAGGAACTTTTATTTTTGTAATTCTGTTGTAGTATTTTAACTGTGCATTTATAACATTTCTAAACAAGTTAATCTGCAAATATCAAAGTGGATTTTGTACTGGGGGCATAATGGAGGCAGTGCCTAGGGGTTGTGTTGGTAATGTTTGGGACATTTTGGTGTCATATCCAGTATGACATGTAGTGGGGTAGAGACCAAAGATGTTGTTTAACATTCAGGGGTGCACACAACTGCCCCACAGCAAAGAATGATCTTGCCCTAAATGTCAGTAGTTTCGAGGCGGAGAAACTCTGTCCTAGGTAGCTCGGTGATAGAGCTCACACTCATCGTACACATGTCCTGGGCTTGCATCTCTAGCACCATGAAAACTCTATGCCCTGCATTATTGTAGGTTGCATTGTTTTGGGTTTCAAATATATCATATAGTAATATACTAATAAAATTACTATTGCCTCTCGGCCTTTTGGCTAAGAACAAGTGTAGTATCTGTTCTTATCAGTAATACAATTACTATATTACTAATCATAATTACTAATCATATATATCATATAATAATAAAATTAAAATACTCAGGGTTGGCCAAATAGCTCAGCAGATTAAACTGCCTGCAAGCAGGTGCAGGGGCCGGGGGTTCAATCCTGGGAAATGCAGTGCTGGCCATGTCCCTGGGGCACACTGAAATGGCAATTGAGACTGGGCGTGGTGGCGCGTGCCTGTAATCCCAGCTCTTGGGAGGCTGTAAACAGGCAGACCACTATGAGTCCTATCTAGTAGTGAGACCCTGAACACCCTGTAGACACTTCCCTAAAATACAAAAAAAAAATAAATAAATAAAAAAAAAATTTAAAAAATAAATAAAATAAAAATGGGGTATACCGATGAATGTCCATTTTGTATCTGTGTATTTAAAGTGGTTAGGATAGATATATAGTTGCATTCTCTTAATGAATAGAATGATTTGTTCTAATGGTGTTTGTAAATAGGATCTCAAGTCCGCATCTTGTACAGCAATTAACCACTAAGAAGGATATATGCAGTGTATTATTTGTTGAAACTGTACTTCCGATTTGATTTGAAACTGTCTCACTGCTGTTTATCAATAAAACTTTGAAAAAAAAATAAATAAAATAGAGTGAGCAGCATGCATTAGAAACTGATAAACACACCTACTTTCATTCTTAATTGTACATTTAAGAAAGCATATTTTTAAAAAGACAAAAAAAAAATCCCTTGATATTAGTAAACTTTTTCTTGTTTTTTTGGAGGAGTCGGGAATTGAACTCAGACCCTTGCGCTTGCCGGGCAAGCACTTATTCTACTGAGCCATCTCCCAAGCCCCAGTAAACTTTTCATGAAACTGTAAAACTTAAAAAAAAAAAACCCAAAAAACAAAAAACAACTCTCCCTGTTTATTTTTTTCTTATTGTGGTTGAAATCAAATTTGAATTCCTTTATAGGGGGTGAAATAGACTTCTTCACTATTGAACTTGCCTTTTCCTTCTCATGCTTTCTTTAGAATGTAAATTGTAGAGCCCAGGCTTGTTCTTGGCTTCTTTTCTTTGAATGGAGGCTTGCTGCTCTTGCTTGTCTGAAATAGCTTTTATGATGAACAAATATAAGCAAATACCTTGTTCCTGACAGACTCTTTAAAGGTTCTTCCAATTTTTGTTTTCTCATCTAAGGGGATATGCTCTCCAACTTTAACTCTGTATGATTTCTAGGCTACTTTTCCCTTCTCCATGTTTGGTGGTCTGATGTTTGCAGGTGAGAATTCTGTGTTCTGTTTCTCCTCCGTCCTGTACCTCTTGGGTGGTTGCTAGTAGTTTATACAATGCATTTACATTTGAGATTTGCTAATGTCTCTCTTGTACTCGGCACAGTATATGAATCACTGTTCTAATTCTCCTTGTGACCCCAAGCATAGCTTCAATACTGTCATAATTAACATTCTATAAAAAATTAGGCAGCTGGGTGTGATGGCACATGCCTGTAATCCCAGCCCTCAGGAGGCTGAGGCAGGAGGATCACTGCAAATTTGAGGCCAGCTTGGGTTATAAGGTGGTTTCCAGGCCAGCCAGCCTGAAGTACAAAGCAAAGCCCTGTCACACACACACACATACATACACACACACACACACACACACACACACACACAGAAAATATACTGCTTTTGTTTTAGAGTTTTTCTTTCAGTAATTACCTTCAACGTGGGTCTTATTCCCTACAGCCGCTTTGTTTGTGATATTTACGCTTTCAGTTTATTTCAGGGCAGATATTTTTGTCAGGCTCCTTTAGGTACTGTGTATTTTTCTTTTTTCCTATATAATATTTGTTACTTAAGTTTGAATGTCCTTTGTTTTCATATTGTTCATTGTTGATTCTCCTATTTTTTTTGAATGTATTTGGTACAGGGTCTCACTATGCAGCTCAGACATGTAGTGATTCTCCTGTTTTTAGCCTCCCCAGTGCTGGGATTACAGGTGTGTGCCACCACGCCCTGTCACTGAGCTAACTTGCTGGCCCTTTATTTCTGGTTCTTGTTGAAATTCTTTGTTTCAAACTTTCCTGGCAGCAAGATAGTAGACTGATAACAAGTCTGGAACTAGACTTCAGAGCCCAGGTATAAATCTTGGATCCTCAACTGCATCTGTGTGACCTATTCAACTTTTCTGGTCTTCATGTGTAAAATGAAAATAATAGTTCTTATCTTTGTATTTATTGTGAGGACAAAATTAGTTACTGTTTAATACAGATAAGGTACACCGAACAATACCTGGCACAATATATGTAAATGCTAACTATTGATATGTATTTGGTAGGTACATATGCCTACAATCTCCCAGCTTCTCCTAAAGGACAATCTATTCAATAAATGGAGCAGTTGAGACTGACCCTAGCCTATTAATCACCATAGAAACCTAGTGTGAGAACGAGTTGTACATATGACACAAATGAAAGCTGCTATTTTCCCAAGCTTTGGCATAAAAATTTCATTAAATCACTGTAATTGTAGGAGGTAATAAATATATTTTGAGATCTTATAGTCTTGTATGCTAAGGGTCTGAAAAATTCTACGTATGATGCAAAGAAAAATCCAAATGATCCATAAGCATCTATGATACTCTAACTTTTCTATTAACCAAAAAGTATACAGTCACATAATAAGGGGATCAATCTCAGGTATTACACTAATAAAATGAAGCCTGATAAATTGATGAGAGAAGATGTAATGAAACACATATGCTGCTGGTAGATTATAAATAGGTAAAACTTTACTTTTAAGCAGTATGTTGTAAGAAAACTTAAAATTTTTGTGCTCTGGGGCTGGAGAGATGGCTCAGTGGTCTAAAGCACCTACTTGGAACAAGCTTGGCAAAGCACAGGGACCGCGGTTCAATCCCCCAGCACCACATGCCAGCCAGCCCTGCCCCCTGGTGGGCTGAGCTGGCCACACACACACACACACACACACACACACTAAAGGAATAAATAAATAAATAATTAAAAAAAAATTTTTTTGTGCTCTTTAAATTAATAATTCCATATCCACAAACCTAAAGAAACAATGCAAAATTGGAATGTTAGTTGTAAAGATGTTCATAAAACTACGTGTCATGAGGAAGAATTAAGAATTGTCTAATAAGCAAGATGGGCCTTGTAAGACTTACAGGATTTTGAGCAAAAACATTATTATGGCCTTTTGACAGATACTTACTTGAGGAAAGAAATTGAGAATTACATGAAATGATGTTTACTTACTAATTTATTTAAATGTATGCTTATCTTTTTTTAATTATAAAGAAATAAGGTTTATTTTGGCTCCTAGTTCTCACCCAAGGTCCACCGGCTGTTTCTGATGCTGTCCTTCTCACTGGCAGTAGGCTGAGGCAGTGCAGGGCATCACAGCATGAGAGACAGGCAGAGCTAATGCTTGTCTGAAGTGAAGAAGCCAGACTGTCTGATGCAGCTTGATTTTTAAGCACTTAGGAAAAAATAAAGGAAGGATGTTTGTTATGTTATTATCGTTTGTCTTTAGTTGTTGGATAATAGGTAATTTTTTTCTTGTTTTTTTTACAAGGTCTTTCTTGCATTTCCATATATTGTGAAAAAAGTAAAGGCTTCCCCCTTTTATAAATGGATGGGAGGAAAATGAACTTGCCAGATAATGGCAGAATTTTTGAAATTTGGAGAAGGATAGGCAATGAAATTGACAGCAGTTGGGAATAAGAGAAATCCATCTGTCGCTGAAACCAGGATGGCCTCAGTGAGAATTTCTAACCTTCATAAGGAGACAATATTTTTGAAAAGTGTAAATTTCAGAATAAAAGCAAAGTGTGACAACTAAACTATGACTGAATATCTAGATATATTTTCAGCTGCACTATTAATGGAGGGTTTTACTTTTATTATGTTCTATGATAATTAACATGAATGCAAAAAAAAAAAAAAAAGAAAGAAAAGAAAAACATTTCCAATCCATCTTTGAATTAATAAATGAAGTATCAGAGGGTTTTTTTTTTGACAGGCTGTCTGTCTGAGCTGTCAGATACAGGCACCTGCATATGGGGCAAAGATTTTTTATCCAACAGTCCCCTCACATAAGTAACTCATCCAGATCAGAGGAGAAGTAAAGCAAATTAGAACATCTGAGGTGTGATGTGACGTTTTAACTACTGCTTGCATCTATTGTTGATGGGGGAGGTTGTTTTCTGGACTGAATCCATGGCCTCCATGCTAAGCCCATACTCTGATGCTAAACTACCCCCATCACCCTTCTTATAGAAATTAAACAGCTCAAAATCAACAGCAATAATTTCTAACAAATTCTGTGGACAACAATGAATTCCAATAAGAAAACATTTGTTTACAGAGTTCAGAGTGTCTTTTGTAAATCCAGTTGATTTTCAACTTTGTTTTTCAGCGAGACGATTGTTTTCTAAAGAGCAAAAATAGGAGGCTTGCAAAGTTGTGTGCCAATGATTAGATCACTGAGCTGTCATAGGGAAAACTCTAACCAGCTTTGCTGCCTTCTTTGGTCTCGGGTTCTATCTGTAGCTTCCACAAGGGGCAGGGATTTCTATCCTCACCATTTGTGAATGATGCCCCAGGGAGGCATTATGGAAAAGATCATGTTCCATTGGGGTTGTTCACTGTGACTGTGGCTGAAGGATTCTTTCCAGTTGGCCATCCAGATGGAATTTGTGGCAGCTTAGCAGCCTGGATGCTGAAGTGATAAAGTATAAAATATTGAATTTCTATGTGTTTATGTGATTTCAGCTTTGATCTTCATTTTTGATTATGCAATTAATCACATCTGCAACTGTCTGAGCCTGCTGCTCTGGGGGCAGACACTGTCTCATTATTTTAGTCTTAAGTACTTTATCCAATTTAGAAGGAACCCACGGTGTGAAACACTAGCCTTGAAAAACCAACACTCGCTGTGCCAATGAAGGAGTGCATTGCATAGCATAGTTTTCCTTTTATATTGCAGGAGTCTGAACCAGGTGATGACTGCAGTCATTCCATATTGGTTGATGAAGAAGCTGAAGGACAAGATTGGCCACCCAGAACTGAAGGTATCTGGCTTCTGTCATCCATGTATTTATAAAGTTAACATTGATTTGGGGGAATTCCACCTCCTGGTTTCTGAAGCGTGCAGGGCAACCTTGAAAACACAGAAAAGGCCAAGCATGGTGGCACATACCTGTAATCTCAGCTCCTCAGGAAGCTGTCCCAAGGTTGTATGTTTGAGGCCAGCCTGGGTAACATGGTGAGACCTTGTAAGGGCTGGGGATGTGGGTTCAGTTTGTTAGGGGTGGTAGTGTAGTAGAGGAGGGGGTGTTGTAGAAAAGAAAATAATCACAAAGGAAAATAGAAGCCACTCCATATCATATCCTTTAGTCCACATCTGAATAAGTGAATTTTGGCAACTTGCCCCTCTCCAGCTGCCAACTCTGTCCTGGTTCTTCTCCGCAGCCCACCCCACCCAAGCTCAGTACAACTCTCTGTCCCTTTCCTTTGTGCTGATAACATTCTTTCTCCCTTCTCCTTCCACTCAGAATCTTAAATCAGCTCGAGGAATCTGTTGCCTTCCAGCACCAAATATCTATCCATCTGTAGTGGTCCCTGAGTTCCTTTCTTAGGAAGGTGGGAGAGTGAACTAGCTCAGAAATGCCCAGTCTGCCTTTGTTCTGTGGGGCCAGCAATCAAGAATTTTCCAGAACAACACCTATTTCAAATATATTACCCTGCAATATCCCCAAGTGCCCCTGCAGACCACACAGTATTTGTAGATCCTCGCTTCAGAAAATAGTCACCACAGCCATCACATTCCCCTGTCATCTACTTACCTATAACCTTCTTAGATTAAATGTTTATTTGAACTGCTCCAGTTTCTCCCTGGTAATTTGCTGGCTTCCATTTCTAACGCCCCAGGGAAGCTGCCCTCTTAGATAGATGTTTTTCTCATCCTTTTTACTTCCCTAGAGACTGCACTTTTTCCTAGCCTGATTCTCCTCTGGTGCTTTGGGTCTGCTGCCCTCTACTGGACAACCTGCTGCCTTTCTCCAAATTGCTGCAAATCTCTCCCCAGGCTGAGAAAGTTAGCAGCAGTTAAAAATGATGAGCACCTTTAAGCCCGAAAGAACTAATTAAAAATTTAAAACTCCTACTCGCTTCCAAACAGTCTTTTTAAGCTTCCTTTGAACTTTCTGTCCTCTAAGCCAAGTTCTCAGCAGCCTAATACCGTCCCTGAGCACCTTCCCAGAGGTTAAATAGTTCATTTATTCTGCTTATTTTGGGGATAACTTGCCATTGAGGCACCTGACTTTTTTTTTTTTAAGATTTATTTGCTATGTTTTCAGGTTTTTTGTTTTGTTTTCAGCTTTACTATAACACTTATACAGCATTTCACTGATCTCTTAGAATTTTAAGGCTTAAAACTGGGTTACCAACTTCAAAGAAACAATAATTTTTTTGATAAAATTTCCCCTCACAGTTAATAGATTTCAGTTGAGTTACTCTTCTCAGAGTGTTAAGCAAATGTGTTTTTGTGGATTGCTGTGGATTTTAGGCATATTAAATATCAATGTAGTTCTCTTTAAAAATTTACTCTAAAAAATTCATTATTTAAATCCTATTTTCATGTTACTTAAAGGGTTATTGAAGTTCAAAGTACTCACATGCCTTCCAAAGAAGACCTTAATCATATACCACATGACTGTTTATTCTGTTATAAATATGTATATTTAACCATTTTGTTTGTTTGTCCATAATATTATATTAAAAAGAAAATATCACTAATTAAAATACTGTAATCCTCATAACATTTGGATCACTCCCATAAATTTTAACACTCTTTATGGAGAATTTAAGTTCCTGCAGCATAAATTTGCTTTATTATAGACTTTTGGGAGGGTAATATGTAAAATATAATTTATGGACCAAAAAGATAAAGTCAACTTTTTCTCTAATAGAAAACTTTTTTTTTTTTGCAGAACCGGGGATTGTACTCAGGCCCTTGCACTTTCCAGGCAAGTGCTTATTCTACTGAGCCATCTCCCTGGCCCCAGAAAACTTTTTTCTTTCCTCAGTCATCTATTTTTCTCAGAAGAAAAGCAGGTGCTGAGTTGGGGAGATAGCTCAGTGGAATAAGTGCTTGCCTTATTCCAGGTCCTGAGTTCAATCCTTGGTACCACAAAAAATAAATAAGTAAAAAATGAAATAATGAAGATGCCATGTGTTTGAAGATGAAGAAGAGGAGGAGGAGGAAAAGGAGGAGGAGGAGGAGGAAGAGGAGGAGGAGAGGAGCAGGTGCAAACTTTGTAGACCAGAAACTGATCCTATACACTTACTGTTTTTATGAGTCAATAACAGCGATTTTAGGGAATAAATGACTGGCTTACATTTTTAATATAATATAAGTACATCTTAATCACAGAGAACCTTGTCTTAGTTGTGTTAAAAAAGGGGTGACTTTGAAAAAGACATTAGAAAGTTCATAAACCAGAGAGAAACCACCTTAGTCCATGCAGACCGACCACAGTAACACAGACTAAAGGATTTAAGCAGCAGACATTTATTTTTTCATAGTTCATTAATTTTACTCTCAAACGGCCTTTTCCAGGGCAAGGATCCCCAGGTTCTTTTCTTATATAGACACACATCTTACTGGATCAGGGCCTCAACCTTAGGAGTTTGTGTAACCTTTATTTCTCTAAATATATAAGCACACTAGGGAACAAGCTTCAGTGCATGGATTTGGGGAGGACATAGCATTCACTCATAATAGGAAGATTCTCGATTGGATTGTCAGGAAGAATTCCTAGAAGCACATCTCACAACTGGCCAGTGCTGACCCCCAAATCATGCTCTCTGCCACAACCATGATCCCACTGTGTACCTAAGAACTCTGTTCCTCTGCTGACACCGCCTCAGTGCAAAGGACACCTGTTCCTTTTCTTTTCTTTCAAACTTGCATGAATCAGTCTCTCAAGTAAGCTTTCTGAACTCTAGTTATACAGGAGGCTAGAAAATACAGTTTTTAAAAGTTGAAATGTACAGTTTAGGAAAATAAACACAGAGAAGGGTATCAAAGTACTCTCAACTCTGATGCCCAAAATTCAGACAAATATGCCCAGCAAGGGGCCAAGAGATAGCTTGGCAGTCTAAGTGCCTGCCTGGCCAGTGCAAGGACCTGGGTTCAATACCCACTACCTCATGCTGTTCCACCAGGTACCTGAACATGCTGTGCTAGCCACTGAGACCAGACATGGTGGTGCAAGCCTGTAATCCCAGAGTTGCAGAGGCTGAGACAGGAGGATCACTATGAGTCTGAGCTGCATAGTAAATAAATACACAAATGATTTTTTAAAAATGCCCATCATTTAAACAGAACAAAGAAAATACACAGGAAAGTCAGTCTTTTCCAGAGACAGTAATTTTTCTTCAATGAATAAGTCAGGCTGGGCCATATTTTTTTTTAAAAATTTTATTTATCTATTTATTTATTTATGTGTAAAGGGTGCGGGGCTGGCTGGCATGTGGTGCTGGGGGATTGAACCGCAGTCTCTGTGCTTTGCTAAGCTTGTTTTAAGTAGGTGCTTTAGACCACTGAGCCATCTCACCAGTCCAGCTGGGCCATATTTTAAGTTTCCACTTTTAATAATGGCTTTAACACTAACAATAAGTTAATAATCATTTTCTGATTTTTTATGAATATCATTTTCACCTCCTCTATGAAGAAAATGCGTTTTTGGCTCTGTCACAATGTTGACTTTTTATTTCTCTGAATGGTAATATTTTCTGGCAGGGTTAATTTACACTTCCTTATGTGAAAAATGTGCTTTGGGCATGATAATGTACTCCAGTATTTTATTTTTGCCTGTGACAAGGCATCATCTTTGCTAGTCTCGGGTATGTTCAGAGCTTAGGTAGTTCCTTGGCTGGTCACAGTATTCAAAGACAGAAGAAAGGAAATGTTTTTATCTTTTTAAATGATTTCAGAGTCAGCACTTTCTGTAATATTTTCCTCATTTAGGACCAACAATTAGGATAGTGGCCATTAGCTCTTAAGAATTTTTAAAAGGCTAGCATTCCTTGTATTTGCTTACTGTATGCTTATTGCTTTGTTGAAAAAGAAATCAGTTGGACTGTGTGTGTGTGTGTGTGTGTGTGTGTGTGTGTGTGTGTGTTTGGTACAGGCTTTCACTGTGCAGCTCAGACTTGGTGATCCTCCTATTTTCAGCCTCCCCAGCCGTGGATTACAGGCATTTGCCACGATGCCGAGATTCTGTGGCTGGCTCAGCATGCCCGGGGGTGGGACCGGTGCAGCATATGATGCCAAGAATTGTACCCTGGTCCCTGCACTTGCCTAAGCAGGTGTTTAGTCTGTTGAGCTATCTTGCTGGCCCTTAGTTGGACTTTTGAATACATTAAATTTGCTTGAAAATGTTTTGGGTTTATCTGACTTCCATAATCATAAAAAATACAGTCATTTTTAGTGACGTGCTCATGTGAATATTCATTTTCTAACTTCCACAGCAAAATACTACATTCATCTAGCAGGTACCGGAACATCCTTTTCACTGACAGTTTAGTTATTATGGTTGGATGCTGTATGTTTTTCACACACTAACGTATCACTTAGGTTTTAACACTGGAGGATGACTACAGAAATGTTATGAAAGACATCCGTCTTTCAAGTTGGAGAGTAACCTTGTGCGTCTCACATAGATTCATGGCTGTCAGTTTCTTTGTCTTAAAATGAAGGACTTCATTTAATCAATATAACCCTAGTGATTAAACTTGTAATCTTATTGGTTGGCCATAGTTTTGTCCCACCGCACACCCATCCTAGGATTTGTCAGACTGGATCAATATTAGATACTTGTGATCTTCTTGATTGCCTATAGTTCTGTCCCACCTTAAGCCTGCCCACCTCATGGCTTTGCTTGAGAAGCGGGATTGGTGGGCAACCCACTTTCTGGGCCTCCATTTGTCCTTTTCAGATAGAAACTTTTTTTTTTCTCTCAATAAATTATTCCTACTCTTTAAAAAAAATAAAAAAAAAAACAAAAATGAGAGGCTTACATCAGATGACTTCTAAGCTCCTTCCAGATCTGTAATTCAAAGCCTCTCATTTCATACTACATAGGGTGGTGGTAGCACCTTTTGAAAATTTAGAAAACCATTTGACCATTCCAAGGAAAACTTCATTTAGAGAGGCATTCTTTGCTAATGTGTAATATTGGAAAACATACAATCAAGTCCTCATGTTTGAGAAACATGAAGAAAACCAAAGCTAGATACATTTTCATGGTAACACAAAATATAATGTTAGATGACAAAGATAGTAAACATTATTATCATTTGCCTGATTATAAATAAAACTTTTCCTTTTGAGAATTTTTACTGTTTCTTTTAAACTGCATGAGTCGGGGCCGGGGAGATGGCTCAGTGGAATAAGTTCTTTCCTGGCAAGCACAAGGGCCTGAGTTCAATCCCTGGTTCCACAAAAACAAAACAAAACAAAACAAAAACTGCATGAGTCTCTTCAAATGGCACAGATAAGTCCAGGTGTTGTGGTGCAAGCCTGTAATCCCAGTGCTGGGGAGGCTGAAAACAGGAGGATCACCACGAGTCCGAGCTGCATGGTGAGACCCTGGACCAAATACATATATTTTTTTAAAGGTACAAACATAAAAAACAAACAATAAAAATGCTTTTACTCTGGTAGTTCCTTTGTATTCAACAAAATCTCCAAAGTTCTTTAAAAGCAATAAAAATCTTAGATGATGAGAACAATTAGTAAATTTTTCCCAGGGTACCCAGAAAGAAGCAAGACAAGATAGATCGACTCAGATCTGGTCCATCCCTTTTTCAGTCCTTCTTGTGATACTTTATCCCTAAAATTCAGTCAGTGGAACTTAAAAAAAAAAACAAAACACATTGTTCCCTCAGGCATATGTAGACTGAGTAAACAGCTCTGCCAAATCGTGGGCTGGACAAACACTGTACCACCTAGAAAGGCACTGCTCTGTGTTCCCACGCTCTGCACCTGTCCGTCACAGTGCTTGGTGTCTCACTGCATTCTTTGCTGCTTATTGTCTCCGCTAGAAATTGTCTATATATCTTCAGTCCAAAGTTTTGGGCTTGGTATATATGTACTCAACCAAGTGTGTTGAATGGTGAAAAATAAGTAAAGAAACCAACTCTAAACTATGTTATGTTATCCGTGAGCATTGGTTTTCCAAGTTGGAACTTGGGTTAGACCAAGAATCACTCTGTGGAACCAAATAGGAGAGGATTAAAATTACAAATACAACAAGGAAGCTGCTTTGGGGCTACAAGGATTATCTCAGTTAATCCTCACTATATGTGGTCCTCAGAGGTAAGTACAGTTGGTTACACCTTACAGAAAGAGGCCTTGCTTTATCAACTCAAGGACAGTACTGCTCATTGTAAAAGCATATTTTACATCTGGAAATGTTTATTATAGTTTTCTTGTCCTTAAGTGTTTACTTAAAACATATCATCCGCTGGACGGGAAAGATATAAAGATGGTCAAACCTCAGCCCCTGGTTCATGTATACTTTCTAATCATTAACAAATTGGCCAAATAGAAATATAAATACTTCTCCCCCTTATCATTCATTATATTTACTTTTTTATTAAGTTTATTGGTATATTTTACATATATGCAATGATCCCATTTATTACAGTGAATTTACTTTTGCTTACTCTTTAAACTTGCTAATCATTAATTTCCCCCATTGCTACTGCTATGTGTTTCCGTAGGTGTTGAGATTATTATGACTTTTCCAAGACACGCCAGTCATCTCCAAGAAGTGAGCCAAGAAGATGTGAAAAAAAGCAAGTAAGGAATATCCTGGGGGTGTTCGATTAGGATATAAATATGAAGTGATGATACTTGTGTAGTGACCTAAAGTTGTCGTGATTTGAGCACAAACAATGTTCTAAAGAAATGATCAAAGTAGATATTGTATGGCAGGGATCAAATAACATTTTAAGCCTTTAGGGCCAGATGGTCTCTTTTGCAACGGTCCGGCTCTACAATTGTCACTTGAAGGCAGCCATAGACAGTATGTAAGTAAATGAGTGCACATGCAGTCCAACTAAAGCTACAAAAGTAGGATGAAGGACACACTTGTCCCCAAGAGAAGAGTCTGCTAACCCTGCTCCAGAAAAGTATTATCAAAAATGTGGTTTTTGTTGGGGAGCTAGCTCAGTGGCAAGTGCAAGGTCCTGAGTTCTATCCCTGGTACCCAGGGCTTGTTTACATGGAAGTATCTCCAAGTCGGTGGCCAAGGAAGAGGCTCCTTATTTTTGGGAGGTGCAGCGAAGAAAATCTGAAGGTAAATTGAGCATTTAATTCTATAGTGATTCCTTTATTCTTTTGGCAAACATATTTGTTATGCTAAGTATTATTCTAAGTACTGGAGATACAGCAGTGAACATTACAGATCCAAAAAAACCCACTTTTTTTTTTTTTGCAGAATGGGGGATTGAATTCAGGCCCTTGCACTTGCCAGGGAGGCGCTTATTCCACTGAGGCATCTCCCTGGCCCATAAAAAGGTGGTTGTTGACTCTATGTTCCCTCCATGATGACCTCAATACAGAATGTAAGAGTAAACATTAAAAAAAAACTATATAGCAATTTGAGAACGTAATTTTAAGTTTGTGGGTCATTTGTTGAAAAAATTGGGGCTTATTGTCTGAATGTTTTTAAAATTTGTTTTCATAATCATTCATTTTTATTATGGTTTACAAAAGTATCAACCCACAACATATTTGAAACTTTAAAAGCTGTTCCAAACATAGCCTGAGAACTGGGCTGGCTAGAGCCTGTGGACATACACAGCACTACTCTTGTACCTACACTGTCTCTGATTTCTCTACTTCAGTAAATGAGGACTAAAAATTTTAAAGTGGACTAAAACCAACTCCATTTGGGTGATTGTACTGGGTACAGAGTACACAGAAGGTGGGAACCGGTTGGAGGAGGAGAGGTCTTATCTTTTCAGGATACAGCCATTCTACTTAGCAGCATCATTTGAAAGTAGATCTCTAAACTTTCCAGTGGGGTCAGACTGGCTTGAGAAGTAGAGATCCAGTAAACATGGTGACTGTTAACTTTCCACCACTGTGACAAAATGTCTGAGATAAATAAACTTAAAAAGAAGGAAAGGTTACATTTGGTTCATGGTTTCAGAGGTATGAGTCAATGATTATTTAGCTCTGGGGTGTGTTTGTGTGTGTGTGTGTACATCACAGAGAAGCATGTGTAGCTGAGGATTCTGCTCACCACATGGTGTCCAGGAAGCAAAAGAGAGACAAAGAAACAAGCTTCCTAGTGTCTACTTTAGGGACCTGCCTGACTTCTTTCCTCTAGGTTCTCCTGCCTCCTTAAGATTCTGCCACCTCTCAACGATGCTACAAGCTGGACACAAATCTTTTAACATAAGGGCCTTTGGGGAACATTGCAGATCCAAACTATGTGTTGGATGAGTTTTAAATCAATCCATCTCTCCCATTTTAGTCACATAACCTCAGTGCATCAAGAATGGACACAAGAGCGTTCTGTTTCTCTCCCAAATGAAATGGAGATTGTGGACATCAGGACAAAGATGCTGAGCATGAACCCTTTACTCCTTGAGAAAGAAGAAAGTTCCAAGGTGCTCTGTGATTTGGACTTGGGCTTTGTGTTGCCCAGGCCTTGTTTAGATGGAAGTATCTCCAAGTCGGTGACCAAGGAAGAGGCTCCTTATTTTCGGGAGGTGCAGCAAAGAAAATCTGAAGGTAAATTGAATATTTAATTCTATAGTGATTCCTTTATTCTTCTGGCAGACATATTTGTTACACCAAGTATTATTCTAAGTTCTGGAGATACAGTAGTGAACAAGACACACTAACCCCTACCATGGTGAAATCCACAGTTGTGTGGGAGACAATCGATAAAATAGCAAACAAGTAAAATATATAGAGTACATCAGGCAGTGGTAAATGCTATGGAAAAGAAAAATGGACATCTAGAGTTTGTGAAGTCCAAGATCAGGGCAGCAAATGTGGTATCTGGTGGGCTTGCTTCCTAGTATGTGGATGGTACCATCTTGCTGAGTCCTTGCAGATTTGAAGGAGCAAACCAGCTTCCTTGGGCATATTTCATAAAGGAACTATGGGTTCCTTTGTGCCCCTTCTTAGTCAATACTAATCTGCCTCCTTGGGGCAACTCTCGTTCTGAATTTTTCCCACCATAGATTGTTACATATTTACTCTTTTAATTAATAAATAGTACTCTATTGTATGTACATGCTACAGTTTATTTACCCAGTCTTCTATTGATGGATATCTAGGCTACTTGTTTTCTTTCTTTTTTAAAAAAACTATTATAAGTAAAGTTTCTCAGATCATTCCCTTTTTAATGAAAAAATAAAGCAAATTTTCATGATCAAAACAATGGAACTTATGATTTGGGGAAGTATATTAACTTCTTCCTATTTCCTATTTTTTTCTCTTCTATTTTGTTCCTTATTTGTGTTTCTCATATAGGAGAAACTATGTGATACTTGAACTTGTGTGTCTAAATTATTTCACATTATAGTCTCAAATTGCATCCATTTACCTATGAATGCCTCAAGCTTATCTTTCTTTATAGCATCATAGTACTCCATTGTGTATAAATACCACATTTTTTATCCATTTATCTGTTGATGAATATATACGCTCTTTTCAAGATCTAGGCATTATAAATTGTGCTGCTATAAACATGGTATGCGTGTATCACTGTAATGTGACTGTTTTAACTCTTTTGGGAAAATATGGGGGGAGCTGGATTACATTGAATTTCTAGTTTTCAATTTTTTTATGAGCAGAATATATTTATTGAGAGAAAGAAAGCTCCTGTCCAAGAGAGGGACAGGAGGGGGGCCCGAGCGGGTAGTTCCCCAGGAAGCTGTCTCTTCCAGGGAGTTTCATAGTGTAAAACCATGTGGGGCTAAGGTAGAGAGAATGGGAACTCGCTTAGGTGGGCAGGAGGTGGGACAAAACTTTGGTAACATTTGAAGCATGAAAATTTGTTGCCTGAGCAAGTCCCAATCCAGAATTCATGAAAGAAAAGCAAACTCATACCTCCATCCAATGATCTTGGTGGATGACCTCCAAATGATACAGGGAAGTAAAACTCCCGATCTGATCTTGGGTGGGTGACCTCCAAACCATACAGGGAACCTCCAAATGACATAGGGAAAAACGATCTCCTGACCTGACCTGTACAAGTTCGTGTTCTCAAACTGAAGAATGAATTTTAGGAATAAATGGAGATTATGAACAGAATATATTTACTGAGAGAAAGAAAGCTCCTGTCCAAGAGAGGGACAGGAGAGGGGCCCGAGCAGGTAGTTCCCCCTAATTTTCAATTTTTGAGGACTCTCCACACTGATTTTCACAGTGGTTGTACTATGTACTAGTTTACATGTCAACAGTGTGGTACGGTTCCTCTTCCCAACAAACCTTGCCAGTACTCATTGTTAGATTTTTTGATGATAATCATTTTTTCTGGGGTAAGATGATATCTCACTGTAGCTTTAATTTGGATATCTCTGATGGTCACACATGATAGTTATTTGTACTTCTTCTGAGAGGTATCTATTCATTTCAATTGTCTATTTTTGATTTGGTCTTTCATTTGAGGGGGTCTAATATTTTTAAATTCTTTATGTATTCTCAATGTTAGTTCTTAGTCTGAGAAATAGCTGGTAATTTTTTTTCCCATTTAGTAGGTGTTGGAATGTGTTAGTGGTTCCTTGGCCATACAAAAGTTTTTTGTTATGATCCTATTTATTGATTTTCAGTATTATTTTCAGTGCCCCTGTGGTTCTGTTCAGAAGGTCCTTGCCTATGTCTATGTCTTCAAGAGTTGTACCTATTTTATCTTCCACTAGAGTTTTTTGTTTTAACATTTTTATCTTTGATCCATTTTCAGTTTAGTTTAGCACATACATGGTCAGATATACAGGTCTAGACTCAATCTTCTGCATGTGCATATCTAATTTTCTGAGCCTCTTAAAAAAGAGGCTATCTGTTCTCCAGTGAGTTTTTTTTTAAATGTGGCTTTGTCAAAGATCAAATACCTGTGTGTGCCTAGGATTATTTCTCCTTCTCCCATTCTATTCCATGTTGCCACATGCCTGCTTTTTTCCCAGTACCATGCTGTTTTAATCACTATAGCTTTATAAGAACATCAAACCTGGGGTGGTGATGCCACCTTGTTTGCTTTTGTTACTTACGAGTGCTTTTGACCTTTTATTTTTTCTTTTTTTAGGTGCCACCATTTTCTTTTTCAAAGTTTTATTTTAATTGCTGCAAAATAAGTGCATACAGTTTAGTGTTTCCGTTCTGATGTACGTTCAGGTAACCAGTGGACTGGCCACGTGGGACAGCCACCATTTTTTGTGGCGGTAGCATTCTTTACTCTGCCCATTCATCCGTGGGTGGGCGTGTCGGATCCCTCATATCTCAGCCATTGTGAGAAGTGCTACGTGAACGTGTCTCTGATCATGTGTTTTCAGTTCTCTGGCTATAAACCCAGAGGTGGGGAGGGTAGATCACGTGCTAGAGCTAATTTAGCTTTAGACTTTTTCCACACTGGAATTGAACTCAGGACCCTGTGCTTGCCAGGCAGGCGCTGTGCCGCTGAGTTAGGGCCCCTGATTTGGCTTTCACAGGCACTCCCTCCCCTGGCTTTTGATCTTCTGGATCTCTTCTGATTTCATATAAATGTTAGGGTTGCTTTCTCTAGGTCTATTAGAAATGACTTTGGTGTTTTGACTGAGATCATATTAAGTCTATATATCAGTTTTGAAAGTATGGGCATTTTGATTATGTTGTTTTTTGTCTAACCAGGAACAGGGGATATTGTTCTATTTTCTGATACCTTCTGAAATTCCTTTTCAGTCTAATATAATTGTCATCATAGAGCTCTTTCATTTCCTTAGTTAGGTTAATAGTAAAATTGTTCTCTTTTTTGATGCTATTGTGAATAGTATTGTTTTATTAATTTCTTTCTAGTGAGTTTGTTATTAGAGTATAGGAATTCTCTGATCATTCTTGTACAAGTCTTTTTGTAAAGACCTTTCTCTGTGGTGAATTCTTAGAATAAAATTTTTGGATTACAGAATAGTTGTATATTTAGTGCTTAAGAAATGGCCAGAAAAATTTAAAACTTCTCTTGTTCATATGAGTATAGAAGGATTTGAATTTGCCTCTGCTAGGAGTACCAGGGTCTTTACTGACTTGAGTCTACTTTAGCCAGATTCCTGGATTTTCTAATTGATGTGGGAGCCTAAGAACCAATTTTCAATTACACTGAGCCTGAGACTTAAATAAGTTAAATAACAGATACCAAATTGATGCTAACCTTTTCTCAAAATGGGACTATGCCTGGGATTTGCTTGTCACTATTCTGAACCCTTTAGCCTAAACCACAAGGACAAACCCAACATGTTGCTTTTATTGATTATTGAAATGAGGGATACTGAACTCTAGATTTCAGGCATGTTTGTCCAAATAAAAAAATAGAATAATTATAAGACTTCTGGAAAATGGTATAGTTTACATGAATTTTAAATAAACAGTGCTGTATATTTTTTAAAAATGTGGTAAGGCATGCATAAAATTTTCCTTTTTTTTTTTTTTTTTTTTTTTTTGCAGAACCAGGGATTGAACTCAGGCCCTTGTGCTTGCCAGGGAAGTGTTTATTCCACTGAGCCATCTCCCTGGCCCCCAAAATTTTCCATTTTAACCCTTTTCAAGTGTACAATTGAAAAAGAATTAAGTACATTCATACTGTTGTGTGACCACCACCCATTCTCAGGGCATGAATATCTTGCAAAACTGAACTTCTGTGCCCATTAAAAAACAACTCCTGGGCTGGCCAAATAGCTCAGCTGATTAAAGTGCCTCCAGGGATTCAATCCCCAGGTCTGCCATGCTGGCCACACCCATGGGGTGCGCTGAGACGGCCATTGAGACTGGGCATGGTGGTGTGCACCTGTAATCCCAGCACTTGGGAGGCTATAAACAGGAGAATCACTATGAGTTCGATCTAGTAGTGAACCCCTGAACACCCTGTAGACCCTTCCCTAAAATTCAAAAAACAAAAGCAAACAAACAAAAACTCCCTCTTTGTCTTTCTTGAAACTCCTAGTAACCACTGTTTGGCTTATTTCCTTAACATGAATGTGATCATTCTATGTCCTTCATATAAGTGAAAATATACAATACTTTTCCTATCATGTCTAGCTTAGTTCACTTAGCAAATATAGAAGCAGTGATTTGATAAATTGTATTTAAAGGGATTAACATCAAATCTGGACTATAAAGTTGGCCTTGTGTCTATTCCTTGAAATCTATTCCAAGATTGGCTCCTAACTAACCCTCAGCAGCCTCATAGTGGCCTGCTGCCACATGTATCAGAGACATTAGCACTATGAAATGCCTTCCATTCCTTCAATGAATACTGTTCTTTCTGCTGGAACATTTTGCAGTCCTTTGGGCCTCACCTTACATGCCACTTCTCTGGGAGATTGTCTTGACTTTCCATGAATGGACAAGTTGCCATTCTGTTGAACTGCCATACGATCCTAACCTAATATGCAATACAATACCTGATTTATGTCACTGTTTATGTCTGTATTCACTGGATTATAAAGGTAAGAATCATTGCACATACAGAACTATTTTAAAAATACACATTGAATTAACAACTGCATAGCAACTATTTCTTAAAGGTCTGTTATTGC